TGTGCTCCACAGGAGCAAAGTGGCAGTCAGCTTGCATGAAGGATCCCTGCCTTGAACCTCTGCGGGCAGCTTCTGCTGTCCTATAGGGTCACTATGAGTCAGGGTTCGCCTGATGGCAGAGGGTTGGTCTGGGTCACATTCGAGCAAAATAGAACATTTAGCAGAAGGGGAGGTCCTGAGTGGTACAGATGGTTAAGCCGGAAAGTTGGCAACGCAAATCCACACGCGAGGCACCTGGGCAGACAGACGTTGGGACCAGAAAGCGTGTGAGGTTACAGCCTGAAAAGGCCCGAGTGCAGTTGTTCTGTGCACACGTCGGGGCGCCGGCGTTGGTTGGCATGCGCTGAGGGCGACAACAGCTACAGACGTAAAGCGAAAGCATCAACACGGATTCATGAAAAATTACCATCTTTTACTTTCGGTAATTTGAAGTAAGTACGCTTGACAATTGGAGGTGGATCCGAGACACCATGTCTGTGAACTCAGGCTCTGGGGCTGTACCTGAAGACGTCCCAGGTGCCTTGGTAGGTGGGGTTTTCGGTGTTTCGCTTCTCCCTGTTGGACACACTCAGATGGACTGAATCCCGAAGAGGTAAACCCACGGCGGAGGCCTCGCTTGGCGAGGCGAGTCTGAAAGGGGTCTGGTTTGGGAGGGAGCCCGCAGCTTTTGTTTCCATTGCAGAGAGCACAGGTTCGGGCTCGGCCGACGGATAAACAGGATCAGTCGCACCAGTCCCCTTTCCTGAGTATTCGCCTGGGCCGTGTCCGGGATCCAAAGGGTCAGCGGCGGCCAGCGGGGACGTCTGTCCTTCCTGCTTGCACGGCAAGCGTGGGGACAGAAATCAGAGACAGCGCAGCTAGGGCCCGGCTGAGGCTTAGCGACGCCTGGAATCACCTACCCTCACGCTTCCCATTCATTCCGTGAGGCAATGGAAGTTTTTGTTGCTAAAGACACTATTTGAATGAATTTTGTTGGTATTCATTCCATAAAGTATTTAATTAGTGTTAAGTGTGAACTGGACCCTGTGGCTACACCCCAGCAAGCAATCATATCCTAGTAGGGTTGAAAAAAACCCAATAAAATTGCCATATTGCACATGTCTTAATGAAGTTTGAATGTTAAATAAATTGTATATTCACTTTTTTTAAAAAAAACACAAAACTTCATGCTCCGGGCCTTGAGCAGAAGATGCACAGTCGGGCCACTACGTGATAACGTGTAAAAAACAAATCCATGGAAGTGCATCTGACATACTAGGTGCGTTTGTTAGAAGTCTGAGATGTGAAATCTACCCACATGCTGTGCAAGTTACATCACAAGAGATATGTGAAATCTAGGATGAGATAGCATCCTATGAGATGTGAAATCTACCCACATCCTGTTGCAGTAGCATCATGGTAACTTCCCACTTCACTTACTGATTTTGGAAAACACCCGGGATGTACTGAATAAACATTTTAATGGAGCACCAACTAATTGGACAACAACGCATCGATGCTTATAGCTCTGGTGTGATATACACGGCCGTTAGGCCTGGTCTCTGTCGGTCCATCGGCCCGCTGGGCCCGCTGACACAGATGTTGTTGTCAGGTGCCACCAAGTCGGTTCCCAGGCACAGCGACCCTGTGTACAACGGAAGAACACACAGCCGAGTTCTGCGCCAGGATCACAGGAAATAGTTTATTCCCCGGCTCTCTGCTTGAAGGGCCAGCGATTTAGTGACTACATTTCTGCCAGACGCAGATCACCCTAGTGAGTTATTTAACTCTACTCAAATCTTGATCCATATGCCCTTCAATAAACAGTATTTTAATGCTGTTTGTAAATACTTGCATTTGCCATCTGTTTTCTGACAGGATTCGACTTTCTACACACTGAGTGTGCATTCACGCACTGAGCATCGCTGAGTAGCCCTCAGTGGGTGGCTAACCGCAAGGCTGCTGCGCTGAGGGCAGAGATGCAGCTGTCTGCTCCATACAACTGAGTTTGGGAATCCCTGGTATACACGGTTGCCGAGTTGGAATTAACTCGATGGCAGGGGGCTTGATTTTCTTTTTACTCTCATTATTTTCATTTTTTTCAAACGTGTTTTGTACCCTATGCTACTGTCAGACTGCAGGTGCTGGGGTACATTAGTGACAAACCTCTCTGCCTTCATGGTGTGCACCTTGGGGTACAGTAGGGCATAACCCATCCGGGGAGGGTTGATTTTTATTGTGCTCTGGTGAATCCATGTTGAAGTGCAGCTCACAAGCTAACCATTTGCTAGCTGTCAAACTTGGCAAGTGCCCTCTCTTGAACCTCCAGGATTCTCGACTGTAAAATGGAAACCGATACCACCTACTTCCTAAAGTTGTTTTTTTTTTGGGGGGGGGGGGATCACACTAAGTTATTTAGCGTGGTGCCTAGCAAAAAGGTAACACGACAGTGACGTCATAGCACCCTGAGCAGTATTTTAAGAAAACTCTGGGATACTGAGAACAATAGGCTTGGTGTAAATTAGAAAAATTTTAAAGGGCAGGGAGTAGGGAAGTGGTGGAAGCCCAGTTGCCTTCAAGGGCGACCAAAATGCATGAAGACGAAGAGTCTCTTCCACAAGCAATACTTAACCTCCCCTTGCAGTGACTTGTTCAGCTTCCCTGGCCTATTCTATTTTCCCAAAAGAAAATGAACACAGAGAAAAATGTCTGAAAGAAAATATAATCGATGGCAATTGGTATTTACAACCTTTATGTATATGTTCTCAAACCACATGGCTTTCATGCTTTCCACACCTAGGTTTTCAAACTATGTACAGCACACTCATTAGATGGCATTAGAAACAGAAATACTTCTCTGTGTGCACTCATCAGAAAACATTAATTAGCAGCCTACAAGCTGCTCTAAGTCCTCAGAATGTTATTTAGAAAACTTCTAACTAGACATAAAATGTGGTAAACCTCCAGATATTGACACCGCACCCATGCACTGATATATTGCAACCCATAACTCATAATCCTAAATTAGAAATGAAAAATGTACAGTATGTCCTAAATGATGTGACATAGTTAGACCTTAGATTATCATACTTACACGGTTAGAAAAATACTAATTCCCTGGGATGGCTTGTTGCATCTGTCTAATAAAGGAATTATGGCATAAAATAGTATCTCTATAAGGTGGCCTTGAAGAAGCTCCAGTGGCACAGGGGTTAAGTGCTTGGCCACTAACCAGGCCAGCGGTTCAAACTCACGGGCTGCTCCACAGCCATCAAGGTGACAGCCGTGGAAGCCTTCTGAGGCAGCTCTCTTCGGTCCTAGAAGGGTGCGGAGTTGTAATTGACTGTGGTACACAACAATGTGGCTTTGATGAAGGAAGTTAAGTCCTAAACAATTCTGTAATCTTCAGTCTCGGAGAAAGGTTAACATACTAGTTTCTGTTAATGCCATTATGTAGCCCTTATTGTGTTCGGCTCAAGTTAAAACACACATGTACACTGGATTGGAGCAGAGGCAAGAGAATCCTCTCGTCTTTGACATTCTCTGGAGAGGAGACCCTGGCCAGAGACCAAGCCTGAGACTTCCCACTATGAACTTTGGACCCAAGCTCTGAGATCTCCACCCAATTTAAACCACAGTCAGCACTCAGCCCAAGAAACTTTCCTAAGAGCTAAAATGTCTGAAGTCCAAAGATAGGAACTCTAAATGGTGGATTAACTTTGGGTTTGCTAAAGCTGGATTCTCCAGTTCTAAATGAATGTCTTGACCTGCCCTGCTCTGACTACCTTGCCTTAAACTGGATGATTTATGCATGACAAACCTGAGCATTTACGTTTTAAGACAGAATCTTTCAAGTAGCTATTAAATTCCCAAGATAAAATCCTGTAAGCACTCATGCCAAGGGCAGGGTAGGAATTTGGTAGGGATAACCCCAAGAATCCACATTCTAACTAAAGGCAGACACAGTCTACTTCTGATAACTGTAATCACGTGCAGATTTAAGGCGAATAATGCCAGATTTTCTAGAGACTCTAGAAATCCTGATTGCTACATGAAATCTGAGTCAACACTTGCTGTAATCTTAAAACAACACTGTACAAGCCAAAGAAAAACCACCTGCAGCGGGCAAGCTGCCAAGGCTGTGCCCTCAGAGAACCTAGGCTCAGCCACACCCTCTGCCCTGTAACAGCAGAGGCTCTGGAGGGTCACTTCAATCATGCTGAGCATCTGTACGTCACATCCACTCTCAGTTGACAGTGAACACTTCCAGCAAAGGGCTAACTGGATCAGGAAGGTATGCGCTGTTTCTTGGCAGCAGTGGCATGTGGAACACTTGATCAAATGTTTCAAGAGGCTTCTGGTACCCAGATCTATTAGTGCTTGCTACTGAGAAGATAGGGGAAGATGTGACTGCAGAGTAGGCTAAGCTGGCATGGAGCTCTTTTATAGCACCTAGTTGTCTCTTGGCATTTAAGCATACTTATTAAGACTATTAAGGCATGAAGGGTGAATCCCTCCCTGGGTATGTTAAAATGTTGGTGAACGTTAGTGACTAATTACGCTAAATTCTTTAAACTCTAAACTGAATTTTGAACACATTAAGGTGTTTTAACCTATTTTATAGCTTTGAACAGTGATATGTATGGTTAGGTTTGTTTGGAGACAGGAAATGACATCCCTTGGGTCCTGTAAACACTGGTTACATTTGATACTTTTGTCATTTAGGAAACACCAGCGCTCACTGCTTCCTCAGGAAGAAAGGATCCAACTGCCCGGAGAGATCAGGTTGGTAGAGAGAGTTAGGGCTGCAAGTTTAATAGTTTTCATAGGCACATGGTTTGTTGGCTGTTTAAAAATTTTAAATAGATTCTTAAGATGCGACACAAAGGTGTTACAGATCTTTATCTGGATGTAATCAATAACCTATAACTGTTTAAAGCACCCTTAAAGTTTACTATTATGACAATTGTATGTTACATAACAAGCACAAGTTACAGTGTTTTTCACAAACATGCCAAAGGTACTTTTGGAAAAAAATAAATTTTATTTTAATTGCACACTCATGGCCACGGTAAAATCGGTGTACCTTCCAATAAAACGGCTAAACTGGCATACAAATACCCAGCCACAACACAGCAAATGCACTGACAACCAAAATATACGAGGCCCTGTGGGTAGTCTGGAAAGGAGGCATTTCATGAGGCCGCTGAGGAAACCCCACTCTAGGGATGACTGCAGGGGTCTCAGTGACCCATCACTGACCCGGAAGACCAGCCAGATGTCCACATCTAGCTCTTAACCTGAGGGCAAACGTGAACTCTATCCTACTTGGAAACCTATAGAGAAACACAAAATGAGGGTCGAGTCTGGGCACCTACTGGCAGCATAGCCAATTAAAAAGTTCTCAAATCTAAACAAATCTGATTACTAAAATCCTACTTTATTTTGTCTAATCAGGAATATAAAATTTAAGTTCTTATTTTAAGATAAGCTCCTGGATAAAAAAAAATTCTTGTAAGACTTAACCTAAGTTAACTCATATTCACATCAAGGTTGGGGACCATTAACAGAGGGCCATTAATCCTCAGTGATGTCTTTATACCATGCTGCCACTAGATGACACTGTTCACATAGTTTAAAATTTCCCAGCGCCCATTCACCCTTTTATCTTGCGCCGTTCCCTACAAAAAAAAATATGGTTTTGAAATGAATCTGAAAATATGACCATATAAATAGAAGAACTAATACTAAGTCATGTTCACTACGTGGATATTTCTCATAAGAAGTCACTCCAACTGCAGGTATGCACTGCTGAAATCTTTAACAATCAGCAACAGTATGATCTGTAAAAAAGGATGTTCCATAATTTGAAAGATGTGTAAACACCATATTATACACACAGCAAAGGCATATATGAATTGTGAGCAATAATATTCACTGATTTTCATGTTATTTCAATAGCCTTTTAATTTTCAAATCGATACTTTGCCTTTTTGCCTCCCCCTGATGTTATTACTAGTGCTGGTCTACCTCCATTTAGGAGCCAGGGTGCACTTCCAAGTAATATTTTTGAAAGAAAATAATGACACAAAAATAATGCTACAACTCTCAAAGAGATGCATGGTACACGGGATTGGATGCTGGTGCCCACAAGCTGAAGCACACATGCACTGTTACGTGGAAAGCTGTTTATTTCTACGTAGGGGAAACTCACAGGAAAATAATAAAAAGTACAGTACATATATAAGTCAGTCACATAGACATTTACTATAACTATCAAGGCATAAGTGTTATAGGTTATATATGTACTGTACCATTATGCACTTATCAGTGCAATCACCTTGCATGTAAGAAACATGAGATGCATGTGTTGCATGTGGGAAGTGGCTGTGTTTGCTACATTATCAAGATAAATCTACAACATCCCGTTCTCTGATCTGAATTTCTAAACTTTACTATAATGTTATGCAGTCAGACATTGCCTGGGACCGAAGTCACGTAGTGAATAACCATTACAATGAAGCCGTCTTCCCTCCTTCCCAACAGCCTGCAATGATTTGCACCCAAAGGTCCCCTTCCTTAATGCTAATAATAGTCCGACACCGCTTCACTGACAAGCATAAACCTTAACGGTCAAATAAATTACAATGGCGAAAATCAGCCCCTAAAGGAGAGATATCAAGGTTTGAAAAATATTTTTCAAATACTTCAAAATTAAAACTAATGAAATACAGAGTTATTTCATTTAGAAACAGGGTAAGACAAACAAGAAACATTCATGACACTTTACAAATGAAATTCTTTGTTCAAGGGCCTCCGTACAGTCAGTCTTCATGTGCCATTATTCAGATTGGCAACGCTGGAATCAGCTGGTTCCTAAAACAGTTAATGCTTCTTCTTCTGGGGTACCTGCCCATTGGTCCTTTCAGGCCGACTGCTTTTCGCTTCTGATTGTGCAAAGTTCCAATCCACTGGATTTAGAAATTGCTGAGTCTTCTTATGGGTCCAATATGGATTAAGTATTAGTGTGAGGAGGGCCAGTCCAAGAAGGAAGAGGGCAAAATGAGGCAGATACAAACTGTTGATCAAACTGTCCCAGTGCCAAAAGCACACCCACCACATGTGGTAGGTTAAAATCATGCGGCAATGAAACATGTGAATCATTAGCCACTGGTTTAGCTTCCAGACCAGAGATTCTGACCAGCCAGCCTGCAGGGGAGACAAAACAAATGCAAATTTCAACACAAGATATCAAAAGTAATTTTTAAAATGGTTTTAAACATATATTTAACAAAACAACGACCAATTCAATGTTCTCCTTGTGTACCATGCAGTGGCATTACCTTATGCCATCGTGTTTAGCTGCCATCTTTATCTGTTCTCCAATTTTTCCATCATCAACATGCACTCCTAACATTTGAAACAGGCTTTTATAACTACCGTAATTCACTGAATGCATCAAGTTCACTTAAGAACAGAGAATTTTCTTGCCAAGGCTGTCCTTTCACCGGGAGTGAGATAGGCTAGAAAATCCCACTCCTGACACCATGGTAAGCAACATGCATCCAAACCCGGTTCACTTCTGACACCAGTGGAAACGATACCCAAAACACCCCGGAATTTTTTCAAAGCTATGTATTTAAATTTTTTTACAAAACAACCTTATCACCTTCAAACTACTCTCCATCACACTTAATACATTTGTCATATCTGCAATTCCATTCTTAAGAAACATTTTTCAAATTCATCTGTTTGGATGGCTGACAGCACCTCCCTCGCTTTTTTCCTCACCTCTTCTATGTCCTCAAATCACTGCCCTTTCATGTCCCTCTTCATTTGAGGAAACAAAAGGAAGTCACACAAAGGGAGGTCAGGTGAGTAAGGTGTGGGGCAAGAAAGGCATGCTGTTTTTTGCCCCAAAGTGGCACACTGAGATGGCTACATGAGCAGGTACATTGGCGTGGTGGCAAAACCAGTCAGTCCCTGTCTGTCACAGATTAAGCCTTTTCTGTCACACACTGTTACACAATTTTTTCAGAACCTCTATATAAAAAGTTTGATTAACAGTCTGACCTAGTGGAATGAACTTCAAATGCACTACAAGTCAACATTGACCAACATCCAGAATGAGGTTTGTCATCAACCAACATTTCAGCTCTTTTGAAATGAGAAAACCACTCCTACCCTTGAATTTTTCCCATAGCACTGTCCTTGTAAGCTGTGTTCAACATAACAGTTTCTGCAGCATTTTTCCAGAGCAGGAAACAAATATTTCACAGCCACACGCTGCTCTCTTAAAATCAGCCATCACAAAAGAGGAGGTTTGAGCAAAACTGCTTTTACAAAAAAATTCACTGTGACCAGAGAGAACTTTCCCAGGGAACAACACTGGGTGCACTAACTTAGACGTTGCTGGATGCTTGCCTAAGTGGATAAAGTACATATTACAAAAGCTCCATTTTGCCCAGAGAAACCCCATTTTCTGTGGGGGTACCCCCTCATACTTCTCTCTCTGACCAGAGCTAGGACAGAACTCACAAGTTCAGAAGACATTGTTCTTCACACAGCCACCTGCATCTCTTCTGGGCTACCTCAAGTCTGACCAGCTGGCTCCCACTATTCCTTTGGGTTTGATAATTCACTAGAATTACTCATAGAACTAAAAAAAATGCTATACTTATGGTGGTGGCTTACTGGTAGGAAAGAAGGATACCAACAGATGCACAGTGCAAGATCTGGGAGGGTTCCCACATAGAGTAGTTTCCATGTCCCTAAAAGGAAATATACTGCCTCTCACCTGCATAAATGTCATTCAACAATGAAGAAGTGCATGGAGAGTGTGTGTTTAAAATCTTTATTGACGGTCTTCTCCCATAATGAAAATTACAGTCCCTTTCCCCTGAGGTCCACTGATGCTATAAGATGGTCTTTCTGGCCTGGCCAACCACTCTTCCCTGAGGTCCATCAGGATTACCAGGTGATTGTGAGTTAGCGTACCACCTCACCTAACCTGTTTGCTCAGTGTGGTCTGGAATTTGATGGAAGACCATTACATTTCCAGAATCTCAAGAATCACTGCTCAGAAACCAAGGGCACAGGTGAAGTCATGTTCCGGAGAGCTAGCTATTTCGTCACCTGGGGCTTATCTCTGTAAGGCCATTCTGAGTGACAGTATGCATATACCAAGAGGTGGCTTGATACTGACTTGCTATTCACTTATTCATCTTGATTTTTGCTCTCTAGTTCGGTCAGTATTTTTTACCTTGAATTTTCACATAATGAATAAATAAGCAACGTTTGTTTGCAAAAATGAAAATCCTGCTATACCAAGCTCCCATTCCTTGACCTGAATCAGAAAGAAACTTAGTGTGAGATGCAGTTTCTATCTGCCTTTCCCCCAGCTAAATATCTGACTCTAGGAACCCTGAGATACAGGCCAAAATGATCTTGCCTTAAAAAGCATTCTAAATCTGCACTAAAACGATCTTCTAGTAGTGACAGCTAAAACTGAATGGGAAACTTGAAGATGGCACACATCACCCGGTGACTCAAGAGGAGGTGGACACAAAAGCCAGGATCTAATGCTACACGGCGCAAACCAATGAACTCCTTACACAACACTATCATCTCTGCCTCCGCTCGCTCTGCCTACACCCAAGCTGCAAAGCCACTCTACGTCACTGCATGTTGTTTTCTAGGATGGGCATATTTTCTTGCCTGTAGAGAAAGAAGCATGGTAGTTAGGAATACTACTAAGCAAGCTCAAGCAAGGACTGGTGCACGTCCCTGCAGCAGATTTAATAGCAGAATCAGGATGAGGGGTTCCATGCAAAAGACTGAAATTCCCCAAACCTCGAAAGCGGAATATGATAAAACATTGCCTGTAGTATCAAATTAGCAACCAAGAAAGAAAAACATAAGAGAGAGAAATTCTAATCTCATGATGTCACAAGAATATGTACTACTGCTCTGATAAGGGAAAAAGATGGAAGCAAGCAATGGAACCAATGAATTAAAAAAAAATCATAACACAAATGGAATTAAACACAATGTAAGCAAGGAACTTGTTACTTGAAAGTCTTTTTTTTTTAATTCACTCCAAAACAAGCTTTATAAAACTTCTGAATTACTACTTTAGATCAGGCACATTTATGCTGTTTTATACTGCAGACGGGCCTTTCTACTGCCATCAAGAGTTGCCGTCTCAAGAAACCCAAGGGGCAGTTCTACACTGTCACATATAGGGTCGCTCGGAGACTCTTGGACTCAACGTCAGTGAGTGCTGACAGGTGATCTACACTGTAGACAACAGCCCAAAGAAATATTTTATCATGTAAATTAGCTATTACTAAGTCTAGACCAAAAGAAAGAAATGTGATGAAGACCAGGGATAGAGTAAAACAAGACTAAGCAGTGTTGATGTATTTAACATAAGAAAATAGAAACACATCTTGAGGGGAGCAGTCTCTGAAGTGGGTATCAAGACCCCTACCTCAGCCAAATTACTTACATGCACATGCTCCCCTCTCCCTCCCTCCTTCTCTCCATTTTCAGAAATACCTTTAGGCCGCTTTTCATCACAAAGAACAAAGCATTTAACCTGCCCCTAACCCAGAAGCAAATAAAAACTTCCAGCTGGTGTTCAGGGCTAACTGAAGGCGAATTATAACCACATCCCTTGCAGGGACTCCTGCACTACCCAAGCCTAAGAGATACGGAGCATAAATCCCGAAGCCACAAAAACAATGATTACTCCTCCAAATTAAAGGGAATAAAGAAATGAAAGAAGACTACACTGGGACCAAAGAATCTGTGCTCAGCAGATTAGGTTAAAACCAAATAGGATGAGTGAAAAGCATTATTCCTTATGTGTGAAATTATAGGCATAGGCCATATAGGTTCTTGTACCTGTGGAGTCGGTACTACAAGTGGAATCAGTTCTCTGTTAGCAAGGTGCGTCCTGATTAGCCTGCGGTTGTCACGACTGTCCCTTCGCACTTTTACAAGTATTACAGTTTCGGTGACAGAATATTTATACATTCTTTAATCTTATCCCTCACTTCCGAACAGAATTAAAAAAGCAAGTTATAGAATGCATGGTAAAATATTTGCTGAAGGCACCTTTAATAGTCCTTATAAGCCCATGTGTGAGTCATTCTGTTAATGATGGTGGGGAGTGAGGGGCAGAGGACAAAAAGCTAGTGCAACCAAAGCAAACTATAAAATAAATCCGAGCTTCAAACATGAAAAAAAAAGTTCAATATCACCCATCAGAAATCAAATAGAAAATTTTAAATTACTTAATCAGAATGGCAACAATTAAAAAGACTTGGTAGGAATGCATATTTACGTTGTAAGAATGTCAGTCTTCTCCCTCGGTTGCCCCCCCTATAAGTAAGCATTCCCTTCCTAAGGAACCCCGATGGAGTTATAGTTAAACACGTGACCACTAACTCAAAGGCTGGCGCGCACTTGCTGACCTGCTCCTGTACAGGTTTCAGCCCAGGGAACATGGTGGGGCAGTTCTACTGCAAGTCATAATCAACTTGATGGCGCTCAGGAGTGATCACCGCCTTTATGACAGGTATGCTGGCACTTTTTATCCAAATGTACTGTGGGTATGCTCTGTCAATGAAGAACGTGTATAATTATTATTATAAGAAAACACCCAGAAAGGCGCAGAATGTATATACTGCCCATCAGGCTCCCTAGTTTCTAACAGCTGAGGGAAAACACATGAAACCACCTCAATAGTGCGCAGTATGGGACAGGTTGACGATCCCCACCCAGTAGTCTTCATGCTAATAACACGCGCAAGAGGGACAGGGACGCAACTCAAGTAGTCTGCATTGCTATGGAATGGTCTCCACGGTATTCCAAGATAATTTCTAAAAGAATCAAGACAATGAATAGTGGGGCTGCAGGGTATGTATATGCATACATATGAAAAGCCTATGTACAAGAAAATTTAAGAATGATCTTTGAGTTATAGAATTAGTGAATTTCATTTTTTTACTTTTTTGCCCTCTTATGTTATTTATAAGAAGTATATGTTAAAAGCAAGTTTATTAAAAGCATTCTTTCCTTAAGAAAAACATTAAGATAGTGTTCATTATAAATATAGGAATAATTAATATCATCCTTTAAAGACACAATTATTTAAGCCTCTATAGAGAGTTTTGATCAGCAACCAAATAACTTACATTTGA